AAAAAATTAAGTGACTCATCTCCCTTCACAGGCACAGCCTGCTCAAACATACATATATAATTATTTATTTGTATGGGTTTGATTCTTTAGCCAAATGTCTCTGCTTTATAATGTGGTTTAACCACGTGGGGATTTTTGTTCAAAGAGTTAATTTATCGTTTTATCATTGAGCCACAAAAAACTGTTCTGGGCTCCAATGTAATTAAGTCACATGCAAGTGCTATATATCATTAAATCTTACTCTGTATGAGTACATGAGTTCAAAGGCAGCTCTCCTGTAAAGATAAGATGCAATAAGCAGTGATCAAGGGCTGCTTTCTAGTGAAGTCATATTCTTTACTAAAGGAGTGTGTCAGGCAGGAGTAAGCTCAAGAACTCAACATCAAAACATTTTCATATGGCATTGTAATTTGACTTTGGAGGTAAGTGAACAATTGATTTAGACAATTTCTTAAAAGAAAGGGACTCATATTTGTAATTAAAAAGTGTATTTTTGAGAGTTTCACCTATGATTTTACAATCAAAATCTATAAAAATTGCAATATGCAAAAATGTTGTACAGAGAGAACATTAGTATGGAATCTTTGAATAATAAGTGCCATTGATTTAAAAATTTTGACAAAATATGATACTCCCACTAGGTGGAGATTCTGAAATAAGAAAGAAAGATTATCAGAGTTGGAGATAGACTTTTTTAGAGAACATTTATGCAATCATCAAGCTGAACTAAGTGTAACAGTTTTGCCTCATAGAACTTAATGTAAATTTTAAGGCTGAGCAAATGGTATAAATGCTAATTTAGTGATTTTTGTTTGTTTGTTTTTATTTTTTTAACTGGAAGTTACGCCTGGTTTTGGACAGTGTGTTAGTGGTTCATGTTTGCTGAAGTTACTTGGACAAATTTTAATTTTTGAATTTTCAGTCAGTGGGTTATTTACAAATTGTTTGCTTTGACTGTTCACCCTGTTCTATTGGTTCATTCTACTGAATCTAATTAATCAGTGTAATATTCAATATGTGCAATGCCTACGAGAGTAAATGAGAGGAGCCCTTTTATTTCTGTAACTGGCATCAGGAGGTACTTTGGCAAATGAAACTGCACTGGCCTACTCCCGCATTTTGTCAAAACAAAAATTAGGAAAAAAAGAGAAATCTAGTAAAACCAGACATTTTTTGTGATTTTAGTATGAAACTCAGAAAGATACTGTTAAAATAGGAAACTTCCTCATCTCTGTGAAAGTCCAACCGTTGCAGATAGAGAGATTACAGAGTGTAAATAAAAAAACTTGCTGACCGCTGCCATTTTTTGTCAATCTCAGCAAATATCTACTCCCAGACAAGCATCATATAGTGACCCACTTCTTCAAACTGATTTTCCCTTCTTTCATTTTTTGCAAATCTTTTGAAAAATTAATTCAAAGGGAATAAAAAGGGTGACACTGGTTGAACTTTCTGTAATCTAATTTGGCTGAGGAAATGTGGCTGTTTGGTACAAGTTTCCTCAGTTAAGGAGAGAAAGCAAGCCCTGTCAGAAATTAGTTCAGCCAGTGTAATAATAGTCTGTGTGATAGGTCCTTTGTGGTTACGAGTTTGTTTCTGCAACCTAGAGATGCAAGATGAGCTTACTTAGGTGTAGATCCTCAGTATGGATATGAGATGGTGCCAATGCCAAAAGAGATTGGGAAACTGTCATGGGTTCAGTACAGACCCACTGATGCAGTCGGAGCACCTGTGGGAAGAGGCTGAGCAGCTGGAGCTGACTCAGCTGGGAACAGAAGTGTCTTTTGCGTAGGCATGTGAGACAGCCTTGGGAAGATGGAATCAGGCTCTACACAATGAGTTAACATCCACAGGTTGGAACAAGAGCAACTGAGTTGGAATATAGGGGAAAACTCCTCACAGTCAAGCAGTCCCTTTCAGTTGGAACTGTGATCCTGTTTTACTGGATGGTGTTACTATCCAGGCCAAATGTACTGTTGGGTGCATTGTTGGATCTCCACTGTTAGCTTCTATCTTATGAAATCATTAAAATTTTAGAAAAGGAAGGCACAATGTTGCTGTCAAAACCATTCACACACTCCACCGATGGAAGATGCTCTATAGCAATCTATCTGCTTGAGAGCTGTTGTAATCTCATTTCACATAATTACAAAGGTGTGACTTTACAACATTCCATTGTTTTTTTTCTATATTTGGTGTGTTTAAGTTAACATTTTAACAATATTCATCCAATTTCACCGTGACTTTTATGAAATTTCTAAGTAAAAATGCTGAGCCTTATCACTTTTTAGTCTTTACCCCTATAGTACCATTATTTCTCTCAAGCCAACTGACATAGCTGTTTGAACATAGGTATCTCAACATGTCTTGGTCTTTTCTGCTTTTCTGTTTCTCAGAATTCCCCTACTAATCTCTGTTCAGTATTGCTAAGATAATGAGTTTAGCACCAACCCTGAAACTGGTCACAAATAAAGCAAAGCAAAGCTCTTGTGGCCTCTATGAATCATATCTCCCTTAACAAAAAATTCTACACCCAGAATTCTTTATTCCTCTCAATACAGAATTTAACCCATCATTGATAAAAAAATAAAGTTGATAAGTAAGAAAAGTATCCAGAGACTTAAACCTGTTGATTTTTCCAGCTGGTTAAATATGCCATCTTATTTTTATGGTTTCCCCTGGGTTTCCATGTGAGAAACAACTATGTGCAGTTTCGCATACAAAGATATTAAAACCAGAAGTTACAAATCTCAGACTTCAAAGGAAGGAACAGAAAATGCCCTTTCAAGATGAAAATCAAAGTGACAGCTTAGCCATGAGTAGTCTATTCCCACTTTTGGAAAGATGAGATTCTGAGGAGAAGTACAATGCACTCCAAGAGGATCAACTTCACATACTTTCTGACAGGTGTATGGCTGATGCGAGCTGGGGAAAAAGAGAAAAAAAATCTAAAGGTTGAATTCCACCTGTCAGGCAGAATGCAGTTCAAGTCTGGCTTCACAGGGGACGCAGAAGGAAGAACTTCTTGCATAATTTTTTCAAAGACCTGTGATGCCTGAGTTCTAGTACAACACAGTAGATGGTGGATAATCTGTGGAGGTGAGACTGAGTCCTGTATATTACACAGGGCAATTAGATGTTTTACTTTGCTGATTTTCTGTTGCCCCTCTTATAGTTTCCTTGTCTATTTTTATAGGAATGCATGTAGGAAAGAGGTGGAGTCTGGCAGTATGTTTGTTGAGACCCTCAAATGTTCTCTAAAATGTTTGAAATTCATATTCTGGCTATTTCAAAAAACTAACTTCAGTGAAAAGGACAACATAAGTTCTACATGGCTTGTACCAGTTCTTGATTTGATTGTCTAGATTTCTAATCAATGCAAATATGTTCCTGTCATAAATTATCTGTGCTAATTTCACACTGTAAATAAACTAAACATTATGAAGAAAGACTCCAAAATAGTTAAAATATTTTTTGCATAATGGCTCAGCAGCTGCATTTTGCATAGTCAGTTTTCCATTCAGTCCCCCCTGGGAACCGTTGTGTTCACAGCACTATTTGCATGCTTTATGTGGAACATGGCTTTTCAGAAAGCTGCCTGTGTTAAATCTTTAGTGATTTGTTTTGCTTTGTGAGGAGGGCACAGAAAACAACATTTGGAGTAGAAGGTGCAGATTACTGACTCCATTTGCAATACTGAAAGCAAGTACAGACTCAAACTATGCTTTCCCTTATCTTTTGTATCCTCTGTGTGTGTTCCAGTACTATGTTTTTTTGACCTATTTCATTCTTTTATTTCTCATTGCTGCTCTTACTGGGAGTTATCTGCAGCTTGCTGCAGCACCAGGGTGCAACTGCACTTTCAGGAGAAACTCTTTCAATAAAGCAGCCAATGAAAGGTGACCTTAGGCTGAAAGGAATATGTCTGGAGACTGGAGTGCTCGGTCCTGCATTAATATTTTGTAAGGCATACTATTGATATTATCAATACCTTTAGGCACAACATCTGCTGCTTTTTTTCTCATTTCGAAGATTATCATCTGAAGTTACATGCTCTTTAACAGGTGTGATGAAGGTCAGAAATCTACCTCCGCTACAACTCTTCTCTGTGATGCAATAGAGGTTTTTCCACAGAGCACCAGTCATGTAAAGTTAGCAGAGGAGAATTTCTGTATGTCTTCTGGTCTCTGCTATCCTCCAAAGATCTGTCTGACAGTAGCATGGCTGGATGTGCTCTGTCAGACACTCTGGTTCCAGTCCCAGAGCTGTCCTTTGTGGCAATGCACAGGGCAGCTGGCGTTTCTAAAGCCCTGTGGGGCTGTCAGTGGGCAGAAATAATTGATGCTGGGGCTTTCGCTGAAAATTGATCCATAGCTGAGAGAGGCTAAGCCCTCACTTCTGGCAGAAAAAAAAACAACTTTCTGTCTCACAAAAAGAAAAAAAAAGAAGATAAAAAAGGTAACAAAAACTACTTTGAGCTGAGATAATGGATTGCATTTCTCTCACATCTGTGTAGCTCTTTTCCAGGGAAGGGCAGAGTCCATGACTATGAATCTTGATTTTGAGAAGAATGACAAATACCTCATGAATGTACCTATGTGCATGGTGAGGGAGTGATACAGAACACTGAGAGATAAACTTAGAATTATAAATTATAGCTCTAAGATAAAATTTGAACTAATATTTTAACTTATGACTTAAAACAAAATAATGGGTTTTTTAATGCTTTCTATTTTACTGAAAGAGAATATTATGTTTGGTTGCACTGGGCATTAGAAGTTAGGGTTTGCAAGAATTATAAAAGAAAATGGAAGTTTTAGAAAAGCAAGTTGACAGAAATATTTACCATATTCAGTACACATTTCTAAAGACAACCTGTAGCCAATAAAAAAAAGGCATCTGAATCAAATGGCAAAAAATTTATTTTTTATTAGACTCTCCTCTGGTGCCCTTGTGCCACCTATGATTTTTTATTGTATTCCTAAAACCTCTTCAGTTACCTTTCTGTAATGAAGAATTTGAGAGCATGATATAGCCTTTACATCTGCCTTGTTCTTAAAATCTGTTCCAAAGTCCAATTTAATGTCTATAGAGTTTCTGAAAAAAAAAAAAAAGAGAAATAAATAGGGAAACAAGAGAAAAAACACCAGCCTTAATTGAAATAAGATGCAGAATTACTATATGGGGCAACATGAGTGCACAATTCAATCAGGAAACTCCAGAGAAGGATCACAGAGAATGATCCATGTTTATTGCATACAGAAAGTTTTCCTAGCATAACCAACACTTATTATTTTAAACAGCCAAGTGCTTGACATTACAAAATGCACTATTCAGCATTTGGAATTTGCCAGGCAAACTGAGTTTTCTTATGCTAGGTGTCTGCCACAGTCTGGGGCTTTTCTTTGTCTTCATGTGGTTTAGCTGGTTTGGTAAAAGTTGCTCTCTTTGCCCACTGTTTAAGAATCCATCCATGCTTGAACATGCTATAAACCAGGTAAAATTGTTTACTTTAGCCCTGCCAGACATTTAGGTACCATGCTGAATAGGGAAAGCATGGGGAGGGGGGAAGGGGGGTGAAATGATTGTCTTTTTAAAATTTTTTCTTGTACTCTATTATGCATGTGGGAAGACAGCCATTCAAGTTGAATGCCAATGGCACAGAGATGTGAGCTAAATAAGTGGGGCAAAGAAGATGAGATAGAGAAATTGAGACTAGACATTGTTGCTGCAGCAAAAACAAAAGGCTACTTCTGAATGCTGGCACTTGCTGGGAAGGAAAAAACAGACAAGTAATTGGGAAGGAAAGTAAAGTGATACTGGGAATTGGTGATGATGAGAGATACCATAAAGATCAGTACTTGGTGGAAAACAAAGTTGAACACATGCTTAAAATTGGTGAAATAATGCTTGATCACATGGAATTATGGTGTCTCGTTATATTTTTTTAACACTTGTGACTTAAAATCGTACAGCTAATTTTCTTTTAAAGGCAGTTAAGTGTAACCTCTCTATACATGGCACTTTAAAAGACTGCCTTTTGTGGGGTTTTACCCGTATGTGTATGAATTGTGTCCTGTCTGTCCATTTCCATAATCTGAGTTGTAATATCTTGAGGGATATTCTCTACCATATCACAGCTGAAAGTAAAGAAAGTATTACAAAGTGTTGGCAGTGGTAAGAGCACTGCAGAAGAGTCCTTTAACTCAACCATTTCTATAGAAAACTTATATTCCCTCCAATATTTTAATATAATAAAAAACCTACAATAAAATAATTAAATAATTAACAGTACCTTTTGGAAAGAAACCTAAATTATTTAAAAAGGGGGGAAGAAATATCATAGTAGACTCAACAATCTCAAATAAAATACAGTGACTAACAGATAAAAATGTCACAAACTTTTCTGACTACAGAAATCCATAAGAAATGCAGAAACGGTTGATGTAATTTGTTTAGTTATTCATCTTAATAAAGGCCTCATTTGTTTCAGTATTAAGAGTTTTTTAATTGGCTCATATATGCCTTTTGTTTTGACTTTGATTCACGTGTTTAACTACCAAAGGGTGTCTCAAAGTTCCATTGTTTCAGAGAGAAGAAAAAATCCTGTAGAAATAACTTCTCAGTCCTTTCAATGGCAGTATTTGAAAAATCTGGGTACAATGGAACAGGAAATTTGAAAACCCAAGACCTCATTATGCTTCTTTCACCCCAATTCAGTCATCTTGTCATATCTGAAGAGGAATTCCTGAATTCACCAAATCAAAAAAAAGGTCATTTTAGAAACTCTGGCTTATAGGTGTACTTTCAGATATCTTCTGAAAAATAGCTTTAATCCATTTGTATAGTGCATTATCCTTGAAATAAAGAGCTGAAGAATAAGTAATCCATTTCTGTACAAAAAAACCTTGATGTCGCTAAAACTTACCCTGCAATGCTCAATCAGTTTAAGCTTCTGCTACTCTTTCCTTGTATTTATTTCAGAGTTTAATTCAGATATTGCTGCAGGCTACAGAGTTCTCTTCTTTGAAGAAGCACATTTTCCTGTGCTGGAACTCACAGCACTGAATATCCTCTGTGGTTTCCAGGTGGACTCATTAATGAACTTCTTCCACTGAATTTCCAAAGCTCTTCAGTTGAACTTTGGGCCTTTTCTAGCCCAAACCTTGAACAGCTTCTTACAAAACCACTGGTGACCAAGTGGTTAGCAAACACGGGGCTAGCAAACTCTACCTGGTTTATGGCAACTGCCTTACTAGTGTTTACTTTTCCGGGTGACATCCCTGATAAAAAATTTCCACTTTTTCTAAGCCAGGTACAAGTACCCTTTTGTAAAAGTAATCCACATTCTCCATTTAAATCTCCTGTGTAGCTCTCTGGTAGTAGCATCAGGCAGGAATCATCTTCAGGCCCCCCTTCCAGCTCTGCTGTGGGATTCCTGATGCCTCTCAGTTGAGCCCTTTACATTGTTTAATGCTCACATTTTTGTGTGGACAATGGAAAGGGTGACTTATCTTTCCCCTTGTGTCTTATACTGAGGGCTCATTGTAGAAGGGAACACCTGTAAAAGATGTCTGAGACCACCTCTTGTAAATCTCACCGATTTTATCTCTGGTATCTATTGTGGCTTTAGCTATTCAGGGATAGAAATGTCATCTTTATTTTTTTTTTAATAAAACATGCTTCTGTGCTGAGCTCAGAAGTACTAGATATTCTTATTAGTAAGTGAATACATCCATTATTACTAAGAAAATGTTTCCAGATATCCAATGGTTCAGTCACTGTGAGGTAAAAGTACTGTGTGGTATTGTACAACATCCTCTCCTTCTCTTTAAATCAATATGTCTGTACTTCCTTGACCCAATGACTTTTTTTTTGGGTTTTTTTGTATTAAGCCTTGAGTGTACATCCAGAGACAAAAACCATATCATTCACAGCAGCTATAATTTGTTATTGTGAGGAGAAAATCTGTATAATTGCAGCTACCAACACTAACACAAGAAAATAAGAGAAAAGCAATGTTTTGTATTAATTGTATTAAATTGCAAACTGCTTTCTCAGCAATCAGAGCTGTACACGGATGCAAATCAGATGCTTATGTAATGCTTTATGCAAGGATGGTGACAAGAACTGCAGTGATAAAAATACTCTTGCTGTGTCCAGACTGTCTTGCCCTTTCAAAAAACCCACCAGCAAATTAACTGCTTGAAATGGATAATTCTAAAGTGGCCCAAAAGTCAAACACATCTCTGTACCCTGCTGACTTTTCACCTAAATATTTTTTGGTGCATTTCTTGTTTTGATTTTTGTTTTGGTTTTGTTTTGTTTTGTTGTTTGTTTTGTTTTCCCAAGGTGCTTCATGGGGCACACCGAGATGAACATCTCCTTTTCCATGCCACACCTTGGGACAGCTCTCATATTAGACGCACATGCATGCATTGTGCAGCGTGCCACAGGGCTAAGATTAGGATGTGGTTGTTAGCTGGCATGCTGATGAAGAAGCAGCTCCTAATCTAAGACACATGCTCCTGCATCACTATGCATCCTGACTTAATACAAATTATAGCATTTATGTCTGGCCATGGAGTAGCTCTTTTCAACATAGCCATGTCAGGAATTGGATTAGAATCTAATCTTGATTCTTTTAGTTAGTTAGTATCAAATTAGGCATATGTATACTAAACATGTCTAATACCAGTTTAAATCTCTAAAGGTATTTTTTCCTCGTGTATTCCTTCTCCCTTATTCCTTTGGAAAGGTCTAGTCTCTGGCACATTATTCAAATATTAAAGACTTCATTGAAAATTAATTTATTTAGAACTAATAAATGTGATATCCTAATAGAAACTGTATTAGAATAATTTTGTGTCCAACAACATTGTAAAAATCTAGTGTGAGCTTTTTACATTTCAGATATTCAGTGGCATTAATGACAGAGATGGTAGAACTATGGTAACCAACTGATTAGAGCTATAAAGTTATATCATAGTAACTCTTTTTTCATTGCTAGATGACATGCATAAGCATCAAAACTGGCTCAAACAGCCTTAATCATTTTGAACTGATTATTTTGTCCATATTTCTTCTCTTAATCTTACCACAGTATAAGATAAGGCAAGAAAAGTTTAATGCAGTGTGAACTCAGTCAAAGTTAGTAGCAAATTGAAATAAAAGCTTATTTAAAGCTTTGTGATTATAGCAGAAACAAAACAGAATATATTGAGTTTAGGAAAAAAAACACTGAGTATATTTTTATACTAAAAAGAATGTTTATAAGAATAGTAATCTGTAGAATCTTTTCAAGTATCTGTAGCATACTCCTTTTCAATAAAATATTTTTAGAGCAATATGAAATTGCTGTGTAAATAGTATAGCTAAGGCCAAGTTGTGAGCAGGGAAGAATGTGAGATGGTAAAGAAGAAATCATATCAGTAATTTTGATGTTCTCCCATATTTCTTTTGGAGTCACCAAAAGCAAGAGCGTAGATTTCTTTGGATGCAAAGAGTGATAAATAAAGCACCAATAGATGCACCAAGCTAGGAAAGGAAACAGGAGAAAGAGGACAAAAGAGAAAACAATGGCTGAAAAGGTACCAGATATATTTGTCCAAAAGTTTATACTATCCATATGTCAATGGCACAGTATTGTGAATATTTGCATCATACTGAGATCATGCTGTGTTGGCTACTTTTAAAGCACATAGAAATGAGAATTTGTATCTAAAATATTCTGAGCATTTGAGACAAAGAAGGTTTGGAAGAAAAGCAAGTGTTGTCCAAAATACCTTAGATTTTGGGCTTGATTATGGTATTGATCTGGTTTAGATTGTGGTCTGACTGATGGCCAGAAACAATGTATTTTAAGTGTCTATTTATATGTGAAGTGGTTCACCCTATGTCAGAATTCTGGTTAGTGGCAGAGCCGGGAATAGACCCAGGTTACCTGGGAAACTAAGTTCATTTCCTTATCCTGAGGTTAACTTATATATTGTCATCATAAATTAGTTGAATGAAATCCTCTTCTACCTCCTTTAATTTTAGATATTTGGGGGCATTAACTGTATTTCCACATTATCTAACTTCTCGTAGTTGTTCCA